TGGAAAATTGTGTTAAACTTTCAAGCGTGGTTAGAAAAAATGCAATTATTTTTAGGGCATTTTATTTCAATGCAAATGGAATTTCCATCACTGTGAAACCGGTGAGAAGGAGGCATAGTGATTCTTGTTTCTCTGTTTTCCTGTCTGTCCCCCAAACCCCATTTTTTTGGATTATAGATGCCCCTCTCAGTTGCACGTTGCGATGCTCCACTATCTCTTGCCAGTACCTGGCTCTGTTCCAAGGCTTTTAGTGAGAGCTCTCTGTCAAGGCATGAATAATACAGCCCCCGGGCTGCTGGCAGAATCCGAATGAGGCACGCATACATCAGGAAGCAAGCCCTGAACCTCAGCTCCAGAACAAGCCGGAGAAGACAGGCAATTATTCACCTGCGGCTGCGCCCTGGCAGTCCCACTGGTGGGTGCGAAGGGTTAGGAAATGGGAAAAAAAATCTGAATACACAGTATGCACAATAAGCCAGAGAGAAGCTGATAATTTTCTAATCAAAAAGGAGAGCTACCGTTTGGAACTTTTAATTTTAAAGTTTCAAAATCAATTGATTTGGCTCTCAATGTTCTCAGTTGGAAGGTTTTAAAATAATGGCTATCACCCAGCTCTCAGGTGCTTGTTGCATATGTAAGACTCTAAAGCTAAACTTTGGGTCAAATATTTCATCATGACCCTATGCACAACAAACAAATATGTTAAACAACTGCAGCGAAGGGTAAATATAAATAATATCCACTGAACTTCAGATAAACCCACAAGATTCACAAAACACGTGTGTGAACAATGAGTTGAGATGAGGAGCTGTGTGTCTGTCTGTCTCTCATTAGAGGCTTAAACAAGAGTTGCCTTTCAGAAAGAAGTGGTTCCTGAGCTGAACAATTATAGTTCAAGCGACCTGCAGCTTCTTTTCACTTAGTCTCCCTTCTTCTGCAGGTGTCCGTCTGTGGTTTGGGGGCCATCACCAGAAAAGGCCAGACCTCATGTCCCACCCAGTGACCTGCCCCTCAGTGTAGGGCTCTGGCCCCAGATGCTCAGCCGCCACAGCGCAGTCTCTGGACGTGTGGCGCACACAGAGCACATGCCTCGGTGGGCTCGCTGCGCATCACGCTTGGCCAGAAGCCCTCCTGCCACAAATGGCTGTCGGGAAGGGGAGCGGGCCAGCAGCTTCCTAAATCGAGAGTTGCTGGGCAGGGAAAAGACTGTGTTAGCATTTGGGGTCACAGTAAGATGACTTCTGGACTGACTACAAATTCCACAGTGTTTCTGTCATACTTACATGCTAATAACGTAAAGCCTCAGGTGGATAAACAAATCAGATCCATGTGTGCGAACCCTAATAATGTTTCTGAAGGTGAATGTCTGCTGTGTCAATCGCTGCATGGAGGCCTGGCCCTGGCTTTCTGCATCGAGGGCCCGGAAGTGCTGACTGAGCTTGGGTCCCTGCTGGTCAGCGTTTGGGAAGTGGAGCCTATTTACCTCCAGTGCCAAGGGGACATCCCTCAGAGGGGCTTATGTGCTCAGAGAGGGGAGGCCAGTCATCTTGCTCAGTTTTGCCCTGGATGCCAAGGGGCTTGGCACTGCATGTTGTACTATGTAAACCCCCCGATACAGTCTGGGTCTCAGTAAAACTATGCTTCAATTTCCCTCAGGGTTTTCCCACCTGATCTCTTTAACTTGTAACCATGCAGTTGTATGTGTGTTTATCAGCCACCTCAAACTGGTCATGAACTATGAACGTGAATAAATATTCATGAATAGATTACCTTCTGCTCAAGGACACAGTTTTTGAAGTAAGGTGGACCGTCCAATGAAGTGTTAGAACCTTAATGCCCATTCCCTCCCCGCTTTTAACCAGGACCCTAAACTGTGACTTCCTCTTCAAGTCCTTGTCCCCTCTCACAGGGATTCTCTGGCGGGTGAGTCTCCCTGCTCTCTGTCTTGCCTTCCTACAAGCCCAGAGCCCCGCCTCTCTCAGCTGAAAGCAGGTGAGTGAGTCAGTGCCACCAGCTCTTGCCCGAAGCCAGGACACCAGTGAAGCAGGCTGGCCGGCCACTGAGGGCCCCATAGCGTGTGTCCCAGCAGCAACACAGGAGTCACTGAGACTGGAATTGAGATCTGGTTTCCTGGGACATTTTCTCACCACAAAGAGAAAGTCTAGGACGTCAAGCATATGATGATGGAAGAAGACTTGACTTTGGATGGTGGGGCCACAGTGCAACACACAGATGACGTGTTATAGAACTGAAGGCTGAAAACTTATAATCTGATTAACCAATGTCACCCTAATAAACTTAGTAAAATAAGAGAGAGGAAAAAAGATTAGTGGTGGGCAGCATTTTATCATTGGTTATCAAATTTCCTAAAAATTGTTTTGATTTTTGACACTGCGGATTCCACGCACCTGTCTCAAGTTGGTCTTTGCAGGTTCAAATAAACAGAAACTCCAATGTATTAAAATAACACCATTTCACTTGGCTGCGAAATGATGTGATCTACAACTGAAATAAAAATGGTAGTAGCCCTGACAGAAATATATTTATCCAAAAACATCACCAAAAGATCAAACAGCTCAGGCAATTCCACCAAAACCCACCCGGAGGCAGCTACTGCCATGATGCTTGAGAGGTGGCCGTGCTGGGTCTCCACAGAGGCCACGCGCGCCGAGGGTCCGTGGGCGCGGATGGTGGGGTGGGGGGCTTTCACAGCAGGCAGCCCTTCAAAACCAGAACAAAACGCTAGAAGGAGCTGAAGCCTCAGTGTGAAGAAGCAACACTTCAACAATGCTAACACACACATGCACCTCATCTACTGGGAGGAGCACTTTTTCAGGTTAAGAATTTCGAATGTTGCCCCTTTGGTAACAATCGCTGGTGATATGCAGACATCGATGGGGGAGCTCAGAACGCCCACCTGGTCCTCCAAGGGGCCCTCTGAGAGGACCAGCATCTGGGGTGTGGGTCCTGAATGGGTGACTGGCTTTGCATAGTGAAGCCTGCGACTCTCCTGTTAGAATCAAGGAGAAAGAAGCCCATGCCTGTGCTGTGGTCTGTCCAGAGCCCCGCGGCGCGTTAGCGGGGGCAGGAAACAAGCTGTGTCTCTGCACTGGGAGCAGGTCTTCAGGCTTCGCACCTCATCACAGCTCCCAACTCACTGTTCCCATTAAAATACTAGGAATTCTAATAATCACACACATGACTTGTGGTAAAAATCGTAACATTAAAAACAACTGAGTTGAAACGTTTGTCGAAAGATTCCCCACTTGGATGTCTCTGTGAATCCGTGCTACATCCCCGCCTGCTCAGCTCCTCTGGGGCTCAGGTGCACTGGGCCCGGGAGAGCCCCGCGTCTCAGGCTGCCCTCAAGCCACGCACAACCCGAGGTGCAGCACCTGCTTCCAGGCGGGGAGGGGGTCCAGGCAGGCGCACACACACGTCAGGCCTCCGGGGGTGGAGTGCTCCTTGGTAGGGACACACGTGTCTGAAATAGCCATCTGGAAACTTCATGATTTTTCTACCTAACTGTGGATATGAGATTATATCTAGCTGATACCCAATTAAAACTTTTTGGCAAAACTTAACGGTTTCTTTAACTGTATGATAAAGTTTAACTACTGACTACTCGAGAGACAATCACAGGAACATTGAATTTTGCTCATGGTTTGCTGACCTGCTTTCCACTGAAAACATAAACAGGGTTTTTCTAAAACTTAGATTAAATTCACATAAGTGCTTCTTCATAAAATAGCATAAATGCCTTAAGCCAACTATATAAATTGCATAGTTCAATGATTTACTCTTTTATACAGTAACAATAGTAATAAGTTAAATAAAATATTTTAAATCACAAATTTCCTTAAAAAAACTTGCTATTTCTTTGGCACACACATAACAGAGGTCTGATGACCATTTCATCATGGATGCTCATTAAAAATCCCTGCCTCCTTAAATGCCAGTGTGGGGACATGGGGAGTCATTTTGTGATTTTTCCCTTGATTTTACTAGGGGACATTCAAAACCATTGCCTGATTTAGCCCGTAAATTAAATGTTCACCAGAAGGGCCACAAACTGTGGCCATGAGGAGGGTCACCCTGCGGGCTGCAGGCACCTGTTCCAGCCCCTGTGCTCCGGTTCTGGGGCCTGGTTTTGATGGTGCATCCGGCTGAATGACCTGGGTCCCAGTTTGTGAAAATCAAGTACAGATGTATCACGGTCCGTGAGCACTTTTAACCCATGACACTGGGACTTCCACCAGAAAGCACGGCTGCTTGGGCACCAGGGAGAAGAGCTTCCTTTCCTTGTGGAGGAGCTCGGCTGGAAACTGGTCTCTGCACAGCGCCCCTCAGCCCCTGCAGAGCCCGCGGGACTCTGGGGGTGCATCTGCAGTCCTGAGTAGCCCTCAGCTCCCAGATGCTCTCTGTACCCATCTCTCTGACAGGTCCGTGCCCCAGCATTTCTGAGGAGGAGAGAACCCTTTAAAGCCCCAAAGTCTCCCTGGGTGATCTGTCCTGCACCCCGTGCATCCCTGCACCGCGCCCCACTGTAAGCTTTCCTGCTGCCGCCCAGGTACTGGGCTTGGGTTCGTATCCCAGGCCAAACTGTTCAATTACAGAGGCCACATTCCTGCAAAAAGACCCGAAGGTCGCACTTTGGTTTACTATTTGTGATTTACCGTCCCACAGCTACCAGCATGAGGACATTGGGAGGAAGAAGCAGCCCCCCATGACCGTGTGGGAGGCTGCCAGCCCTCCGTCCCCCACATGTGGCACAACGAGTTTCAGGCTGATCTTAACTTGTGTCATCTTACGAATTATTGTAAATTCTGCCCGGGAAAGAGTGCGAATTGCTTACATTTTGAGAACCTGTACAAGAGACCCATGACTGAGTTCCTGTCAAAGAGAAAAAAACTGTGACAGTCGTTGTCCCCAAGAACACCTGCCCACCTGTCTGTATCACCTGAGACACACGATGCAGGGAGAAAAAGCACAGGCATTACCTTCTGTGTCTTGCGTATTTGCCGCTGACATGACCGCTGCCGTCACAGCCAGGAGTGGGACAGCTGCAACAGGAAAGCACTGGTTACACGGTGCCGTGCGCTTCAGTGACAGCGAGGAGGGGAGGGCCGCACAGATGGACAGAGAGAAACCCAAATGGAGGTGTGGGGTCAGGGAAGCTTTTCATTAGCGACTCTCAGGGAAGTGGCCTCCTCAGTGCAGCGGGGCGTGAGCGAGGTGCCGGGCACGCGGGAGAACAGCGCGCCCACGGAAGGGCACAGCTTCCCTACGCTGCTACAGGGGGGGGCAGTGGCCCGCGGAGCACTGACCTGAACAGCTCCTGGATGGCTGGTTCCACGGGAACTGCAGAGGGAAACAGATAAACACGTGTCATCTACCACAAGCACCCTCTTCCACTGGACAGTCCCAAAGGGTGGTGTCAAGGCAGCAGTCGGGGCGAACCGAGCAAATGGCTTCTGCAGGATGAAGGTGACCCCGCTTGGGGCCTCCGGGGACTCGGGGGTGCGTGGACGTACCTCGAACCCCTTTGGACCGTGTGCGATGACGCTTCTCCTCGGCGTCCACCTCCATCTGGGGACAGATGAGCAGGGGGTCAGTGTCCCTCTCCGGCAGGCCTGGGTCAGCAGGCACTCGCTGTGCCCTGGCATCTTAGTGCCAGTGCTCGGCTCCTGCTCCCCTCCGCCAGGGAGGCCTCTACCTGGGACTCGGGGAGGAGGGCATCCAGTCCCCGCGACGGGTCGGAAGGGCCAGGCCGGACCACGGCCTTGCAGTGGACATTTCCAGGAGGCCCCGCCGTGTGGTGGACCAGCCTTGAGCTTATCCTGGCCCCTCCCTTTCAGAGCATTGGTCGGGCTGGTTCTGAGCTGAGCTCTGTGCTGAGAGGGTCACACAGCCCTGCGTCTGCAAGGAGGTTCTGCCTGACGGATTCTCCTTGTGACTGGGAGGGGCTCTCTGCTCACACCAGTGAGAGGAGTGGGCATCACAGACGACATCAGAACTGGGGGCTCTCATTGCCATCCAGGTCCTGGGGGGCAGTCACTGTCCACGGTGATCTAACTCGTCAGGAAGCCTCTCAGGGGCTCGGCCCTTTCTCACAGTGACCCGCAGGTCTGACACCCTGGGGACTACCAAGTGCTTTCACGTGTGGCCTGGTAAACCCCTCACCACAACCCCGGGAGGGTGTCTTTATCTTGTTACTTCTGCAGACCCGACTGACCCACGGACACCCAACAGGAAGTTTGGGTGTAGGGCCTGGGGACCACACGAGAAACACACTGTGGCTGTGTGGACATGTGCTCATGTCTGCACGAAGTATTTCCACAGCATGAGAATACTTTACACATGAAAAACTGCACACGGGAGACTCTAGCCCCCAGAGCAGGGCCGGTGGGAAGGAGCAGAGAGAAGATGGCGGACCCTCGGGAGGCAGTGGCACAACCGCTCAGCCCCCTCTGGACCCCCGGCGCCCCGCAGGAGGCCGCCAGAGGTGAAAAGGGCAGCCAGCCTGCCCCTGCAGCAGAAAGCTGACGGCTGACAGGGTGCGGCCCACACAGGGGGGCCGTCAGGCGTCGCAGCCTCACGCGGCAGCTCCCAACACTCCATGCCCATCACCTGAGCACCGAGTGTCTGGGGCACGGCATGCCCAGGGCATGGCAGGACAGAAACAAGGTCTGCGCCTCTGGAGGCTTCATGTCTGCTCATGGGAGACCTGTCCATTCTCATGCAAGACTGCGATGGGAGCCAGTAAGAATTTCAGAAAAGGAGGAGGAGCCTGCGAGAAGGGGGTCACTGAGGGAAGCCTGCTTGGGAAAGTGGTGATGGCGGAGGGCCGCCTAAGTGTAGGAGGGAGGGAGCCTGTCCCTGAGCTCGCACTCAGACCCTGCACGTGCTGCTGTTCAGTGAAGGACTGGACCAGAGCGAGTGAGGCCGCTGCCTGGTGATGGCAGGCCAAGGGGGTGGCAGGAGGTCGATCCCTACGAGAGCACAGGGTGGGGTGCTTGACTCAGAAGGACGGGGCGAGGGCATAGGCCAGAGGGAGGGACGCTTTGGGGCTGGGGCGACCTGGGGCGTGGCAGTCACCTGGCACCCACACAGCTGGAGTCACCTAAGCACAGTGGGGTGGGCAGTGTGGGCAGGGCAGCGCCTCACAAGCATGTTTCAGAAAAGCAGTCGATGGCGGGTTGAGAGCAGGCAGGGGGGCAGGGGTGGGGTCAGGAGAACTGTGAGGCAATGAGGGTCGCTGAAAGGACAGAGCCGCCACAGCGCCCCGACAAGTCCCTGCCAAGCACCCTGAGTGCGCAGCTGTCCAGGGAAGAGGGAGGTGCGGGCGCAGGAAGCGGACCGAGGAGACACGGAGGGGAACAGGAGGCAGCGCTGGGGCCTCCGCTGCCCACTCCCGTCACCGGCTCGTGTGCCTGGGGCAGGACCCCAAATGCAGGCGCACTGCGTGGGTCTGCACGGTGCCACAGCAGTGCTGGGCGCTCAGCGCTCCAGCTGCTCTTCTAGGGGAGCAGCTCCCAGACCCTGTGCGACACCAGCAGAGCCCAGCAGCCAACAGCACGTGGGCAAAGCTGCAGGAGCACTGACAGGGGTGAGGACCCTGGGTGCTTCCACGGGAGCCGCGTGCTCCCGAGTCAGGGGACGCCTCCAGCACACCAGGTACACTAAGGTGACGGGTAAAATCTATTCTTCAAGGGATTCAGAAAGGAGGGAACCTTTGCACCAGGGGAATGGGCTGAGAAACATTCTCAATGTGGGATGAGGGGTGGAACATGGCGTGCTGGTCTGACCCTCCCTGGGGGAGTGAGCAGAGGGGCGTCCTGGGGCAAGTGCAGTTTGAGCGGGTTTAAAAGCTTAATTGCAGGTGTCGAGTTTTGAAAGTGTGTGCGCGGGGCGGGCGTGTTGAGGGGAGTGTTCCAGGCAGAGGGAAGGGATGTACAAAGGCCCTGAGGCCAGCAGGCACTGTGGTGGCTCCAGGGGCCAGGGGGCCCTGCTGGAGGACAGGGGCTTCTTTTGGTAGGGCGCAGGCTGCTCCAGCCTTCCTTGAGGGACTCAGGCCAGTTTCTGTCCCTTACTCATACATGGTGTCCGAAGGACAGATCTGCGTTCACAACTCCAGCTGTCACTCAGGAGAGAACGGCCACCTTGGGAAGGGCAGTGAGGCTGGCTCTTTTCGGTGGGTATTGAATCGAAATACTCGGCCTCTTTCTCTAACTGTTCATATGCTCGTATAAGAATTGCATTACTTTTTACTTTAAGTGCATTGTTTTTTACGTATGGAGGACAACATTACTTTCTTCTAGGTGGACAGGTAATTCCGCCATTAATCACTCACTAAACAAGTAATACTTTCCCCGCTGGCCCCAAATACCCCACCACAGTGGGGCTGATTTGGGGCCACCCTGTGCTGCTCCTCGACCCGCTTCCCCCATTGCTCCTGCTGACTTCCAGGCCCTGGGACGTCAGCCTCTTCACCACCAGGGTGTCATGAGGCGACTCACGGAGGCGTGTGGTGCAGCACCCAGTGGGCTAGTCAGTGCTGGTCTTCTCTTCCTCCGCAACTCCCAGCACAGTAAAATGAACTGTCGAAAATGATTCAGACTTTGCACCGCTACAGGTGTTTCCAAATGTGCAAACTGCCAGGGCGGTTCGCGTTAAGCAGATCACATACAATGTGTAGTCCGAAGCACGCATGGAGGGTTTCCATCTTCCAGTGTTCACACCTGAAACTGTCAGGTCAAGCCTACCTGACACCAAGAACCCCTCCCCGTTCAACCCCGCCTGCCCTCCCCGAGCCCACCCGCCATCAGGAAGAGAAGACTGATCTGCACCAAGCTACGCGACTTTGAGTTGCTTCTTTTGTCGGTTCTGAGACCAGAGCCAGGGGAGCTGCACTTGGTGCTGTGACGGTTCGCAGCCTTGTTCCAACATGTCGGTTCTCATCTCTCCTGGAACTGGAGGAAGGTAACCTACTATCACTGCCTGGTTTCTGATTCTGCCCCTAGTAACTTATGTTTAGAAAAATCATCCTTGAAGAGCTACCTTCATATTAACCCTTTTAAGTCCAGTGATTATTTTTATAATGAGGATAGGTTTTTGTGAAAACTTTGAATAACATGATGCTTTTAAAAAAGTCTTGCTTTATGCTGTTACGCTTTAAAAATTTATTTTGGAATCCATAAAAGCTATCAGAATGACTTGAAGAGAGCAAGAGAGTCATTCTGTGACATGTAAACTCTGCACTTGGAATCAAGACTTATTTACGACTGACTTTCCCCCCCTCCTGCCCCAGTGCAGTGCACTTTCCTCAGGCCCAGTGAGGACGACAGCCCCTCAGCCACCCAGCAGCACCCAGCAGCGGGGTCCCCGCGGGCCCGGGGCTGCTCTGTGCCGGTGCCGCAGGGAGCCCGAGGAGAGCTGGGCGCAGGCTCTGGGGACAGGGGCAGACAGCAGCGGCCCTCGTGCTCTCCCCTGAGCGTGCTGACACGTGTCCCTGCACACTGTGACGTGCTCTCCTCCGGCAGGATGAGGGCAGGAGAGACTGCAGCCCTAGGCTCCACAGTGGGCTCCGTCCCACCTCCCTCCCACAGCCCCTCCTCAGTTATCTAGGCAGCAGTCACCCATCCGGTCCATCAGCCAGGCGCTCTCGTCCCCTCCGGAGGCCGCCCTTCGGTCACTGCACTGCTCGTTAGCACCACGAGGGCAGACCACAGCAGAGCTGCGTTCCGTGTGTCAGGCTGTGACTGGGAGGAAACCTGGGCACTAACAACGGGAATGAGACGCTGCCAGCAAAACGCAGTGCTCAGGTCACACTGCACACAGATGGCTTCTTGCATGTGCCTTTATTCCCATGGGTCACTAACTGAGACCCCCCCCCCCACACACACACTGATGGCTCTCAGGGCAGAAAAGTCCACCTGTAAAGGTCAGCAAGAATCAGAAATTCTACACTGTAGTTCTTGCATGGTGTTTAGAAAAAGTACTATAGCAAATAAATATTCCTGAAATATGACAAGATTTTCAGTTTTAGTGAAATTAATGTGGTGCAAACATGTTAAAATTTAGGATTTTCACCCCATTTATACTAAGAGACAGATGGAATTGTTATTAAGAGGTTGCAAAGTTACAGAGATTAGCAGGTTTGTAGTTCACGGCATCATGGCTTACAATTTTCAATTCCAATTATCCAACCTTGTAGGATGGAAATAAGGAAAAACTTAGCAAATGAACAGGATCAAAGTCGTGGTGTGCCGACCCTCACTCTCCCTTTGCCTCCTCCCCACCACTGCTTCGCCAGTGAGGGCGGTCACAGTGGATGGACCCTCAGAAGAAAGAGGCCCCCTCAAACCCCTGGCCTCTTCACCCCAAGACACTGGCTGCTCGGGGAGGGCAAGGCTGGTGTCAACAGTGGTGTGTGTGACTGAAACAAGGAAACAGTTTCTGGGCGAGAAAGGACAGTGAACTTGCAGCTAGCGCCTCCCCCTGCCGCCATGGGCCATGAGCTCTGATGCCCCCGTTCCAATCACCCTTGTCCCTCCTGAGCCACGTGTCAGAAGGCTCACTTCCTGTTTCCCGTCCTCCCTGCAGGCCCCTCTGCTCTGCACCCCGCGGCCCTGCCAACCGGTAGGGACTACCTCTTCCCTCCCCGACCTTCCTTCTGGCGCTCTGCATCCCAGTGATACCACTTCTAGAATCCGTCTCAGAGGCCACAGGGACCTGCTCCCCAAACGCCCCAAACGCCTTATCAGGGCCCACCCTCGGCCAGGCATCCGAGGGCTTTACCACCTCCCTGACTCCTGGGCTCCGGCCAGGTTTTGCCCCAGTCTCTGCACACTTAGCAAATGCCTCTGCCACTCCACACACTCTGGGAGGGCTCGGACCTGTGTCACTGACACTAACCGCTCATTTCCACCTCGACCCCACACTTCTAGCTGCTTCCAGAGCTGCTGCCGCCATCGCCCATGCAAGCCCTTTATAGTGACAGTCACAGGACTTGTCTGCAGACGCCCTTTCTCCCTGTCTCGCAGCTGTTTGCTGCTCTGTCCCCACCCCGGCACTTTGCAGATTTCCTGCTGACGTGTGCTTCTCCGCACTGTGGTCCGAAGCGCCCCTTCCTCCCCCCACTCAGCCATCGCCAGAGGAGAGTCTGTGACAGTGACATCAGTCCAGCACGGCCTAGTGGCTATTTCCTCGGTAAATGGAGCGATCGCTCTTCGGTGTGAAACCTGACAGTCTTTCTCCACTCCTCTATCGAACAATTTATCACCATCCGGGTTTTGCAGCTGTCTTCTCTTGTTGCCATTTCTTTCCATCTCCCTGAACACAGCCAAGTTCAGAGACCAATCCACCAGGACGAGTCATTGTGGTTGTGTCTGGGTGCTTGTCCCTCACGAGTTTGCTTCCTTGTGGACCCACTGCGTTCACAGCTGCGAGCTGGGACCTTATCTGGCATTTCCGTCCATGGAAGAACCCAGAGTGGCTTCCTGTTGGCCAGTCTCAGCCCCAGAAACAGTGTGCACCTTTCTTCGCTTCACCTGCAGACGCACACACGGGCACACGGGCCGCACAGCCGGCGGCGGAGCAGCGGTGAGGACGGCCGCTCTCCCTGCAGCCCACGTCCTGCCCAGTGCGAGGGAGCCGCTCTGCCGTGTGCGAGCCGCCTGCAGACCCGCGCGTGCTTCAGCGGTGGCTGCCCTGTGACAGATGCTGCTCTGTAGGTCGCTGTTCTTCGTGTGTCAGAAACCACCACTGTCTCCCCAGGTAAGCACCTGTGGACTGAGCTCAGGTTCTGGGTGGATACACAGCACCCCCCAGAACGCGTGCGATGTCACTCACCCAACCACCCCACAGAGCCCACCAGAGGACACTCAGGGATTTACTTCCTTCAGTCACTTTGCTCCACTGTGAGAAGGTCCAGTATCACACTTCTTTGTGCTATTTCCATAATGTAGTTTTCTAAGATGACATTGACAGGACTGCTGGACAGTGTAGAAATACCTACATTTTTTTCATTAGTAAAAATGTAAAAAATGCAGATGCCTGCGTGTGACCTTGGCAAGTAACACTGCACACCTCACTGCTGCTGACAGTCCCCCCACTGACTGTGAAGCCGGGAAGCCTGTGTCCTTTGGGTCTCTTGCAAGTTGTCTGCTGTGAAGTTATTATTTTCACCCTTGCTTACTTTTCTTCTTTTTAAAACCACATCAATTTGTAATAGCTCTCTGTATATTAAGGTATCAGCCACTTTGTCCACCTTATCTTTTGTAAGTATTTTCTTCTAGCTTTCTTTCCCTTCACTGGTGGTATTTTTTCCCGTGTATGAGTAAAAGTGTAGGTCAGCCAAGAGCCCCTCGCCCCTGGACAGACGGCCCTCCCTAGCTGCTGTGTCTGCCCAACGCAGGGGTAGGCGCTTGGCAGCCAGCCCACAGCCAGGGCGCCCGCCGCCTCCAACTGACACCGCCCTTCCGGTAGACGTGGACCAGAAAGAGAGATGGCTCACAAGAGACGGGAGGCCCGCTCTGGGTCAGCTGTACGTGGTGCCCCACGTCCCCATGGGCCGGCCACTGAGACAGGCCCTTGAGCTGTCTGGTCTGGATGAGTATTTTCCAACTGAACTTCTCCTGCACCGAATTTCAGATGAAGTGTGGCACAAAAATAAAATTCAAAGATTCAAATATGCTTTGACATAGAAATGTATTAATAGAACTGTCTGCTTATATTAATATTTAAATTGCCCTATCACTGTCTGGTTTATAATTTTTTAAAGTTCAGTTTTAAAAAATGTTTTACTCACTTTTTGTGGGGCAGAAAATACTAAAAGAATAAAGAACAGAAAACTACACGAGCTACAGCTGCAAATGCTAGAGCATGTAGTCTGCGAGCATCTGTGCTCCCCGGAGACAAAACACAGACTGTTCCACAGAGACTGTTCGGAAATGAAACGTCCCAGAGATGGCTAAAAGGGCAGCGTACGTGGATGGTGGAGAGAAAGGGCTGGGCCTGGACTCCGAGAAACAGTTCGCTTTTCCCAGGGCGCCCCTCGCCCTTCGAGTCCTACTGGCAGCCACTGCACAGAGCCCCACAGACAGTCCCCAGGTGCTCAGGGAGGGGGACGTGGGCTGTGAGCACTGGGGTCTGGGAGGAGCACGGCCCTGCCTGAGGAAAGAGAGGGGTGCCCCTGAGCAGCCTGTGATGGTGTGGCCTGTGTGGCTGTGGTCACCTCCCTGGGCTGTCACTGCCGGGCATGTGAACGGGCCATGTGCTTCTCCCTGGGACAGGCCCCACCCAGTGGACACACCCAGCCCATCAAGGAGTCTTCAGAGGCCATGAGTGATAGGAAACACAGTCATGGGGGGAGCTCTTCACGAGGTGGGAAGGGAACCCTCGGACCTGGAGTCACTACAGGCAAGAGCAGAGGCGGCTCAGGAGAGCACCAGGGAAGACATGGCGTAATGCTGGGATGACGGAGCGGGGAGGACACGGGGCAGGGGGCAGTCTGGCTACCCTGGGGAGTGGTCAAGCCAACCTAGGTGGAACTGTCCAGCTGGGGTCTGTGCACCAGAGGGGGGATGTGGGACTGAAGGACGTGCAACCCCTCTGCCACCCTCGCTTTGTCTGAATTTGGGGTTCATGAGGCCAAAGGTGGGATTTTGAAGGAGAGTTTCAGGAGGGAGGCAAACTCCAAGTTGGACGGGCCGTGAGGAGAGCGCCACCCAGGGCTGGCCCCAGGGGCAGAGTCAGTAAGAGCTTGAGGGGGTCAAAGAAAAGCAGCTGCTCTCCACGTTCGACTCCCAGGACAGGTCGCAGTGTCTGCCAGAGAGCGAGCAGTGACAGACAGGAGAGGAGAGGGTGCCAGGAGGGAGGACCTCGGGGAGGAGAGGGTGCAGAGAGGTCTGAGGAGGGCGGCAGCAGGGCCCACAGGAAGCAGGTGGCCGACAGTGGTCATCCAGACCGGCAGCCTAATGCGCACCAGGGCCCACGAGCACGGCTGGCCTCACACCTGCACGTGGGGCACATAAGCCCACAGGCCAGCGGGTGGACAGCGCACCACTTTACCTTGCAGGAAGTCTTCTCTCCTAGGAATGGAGGCAGCGTGACTCCCTGGGCAGGACCCGGAGTCAGGGGCGCTCTAGGCTCTAATCCTGGTCCTCCCAGCTCGTGACTGGCAAAGTCACTTCCTTTCTCTGTGCCTCGATGTCTCCATCTGCAAAGACACGAACGACAATGAGAAGTGCCCAGGGGTTGCACCAGCACCTCAGGAAGCAACGTCAATGGACAATGTGCGCTTTGCCATGGTCAGCAGGGACCCTCGCTTCCTCCAGGACCAAATGTTTGCTTTCTAGGGGCAGCGGCTCCCCAGAGGGTGATTCTCCTGCTCTCTCGGCCTGGGGAAAGGGTCTCCCGGGGACATGCTCAGGCCATCCTGCCTGGGACAGGCCATCTGGGAAGAAGGCTTATCCTGCCAGCTAAGTCAGCTGTGCAGTCTGTGAGACAGTCTGCTGCCCCCGAGAACATTCTAGAACCCTTGTTCTCGGGGCCCAGTGGCCTTCCAGGTGTCCTTCCATGGCTGGCCTTCCTGCATTTGGGATGGAAGCGGCTTACTTGCAGCCTGGCAGTGTAGATCCAACCCAGACCGCACAGGAGAGCACTTGGTCTGTGACTGCCCAAGGGCCGCAGGATGGGGCTGACCTCCGTAAGCTCACAAGACTACTGGAATTTAAGGACATGACCTTATCCGCTGTGTCATTTGCCCACCGGACTTTCTGCTACTTTTGTGAAGGGAGAAACTGACACAAAGGGAGGTCACAGTGCCTGCTCAGAGCTGCCCAGCTAGTGCGAGGGGTGGGTGCCATGTTGAAAGCTGGCTCTCTCGTTTGCAAACCTCAGGCTCCCACAAGTCCTGAGTCCTATTCAAAGAGACGCCTGCAAGAGCCTCAGGGCTGAGGTGCAGGGCAGACTCGGGGCACTGGGGCCCGGCAAGCCTTTGAGTGGTGGTACCGGGTGGCCTCACCTCACAAGTGCCCTGGATGGGGACTCCAGGAAGCTCTTTCGTTCAGAAGGACCCATACCCCTGCTCACGGGACTGCTCATGGCTGCTCCAGACCTGTGCAGCCAAGGGGCCAAGAGCCTGGTGGGGTCAGAGGTGACGCCTGACCTCAGGGTCCACAGGACAGCACTGGTGCTTCCAACCAACCACCAGCGTGTGTAACCAGGGCCTCACCCAACTGCCACCCCACCCCCTCTGTCACTGCTCAGGGGGCAGCAGACAGCTGGATGGCCACGTGCACTAAGCAGCAGGAGGTTCACAGTCCATCCGGTGCTGGGGAGCTGGGCTAGTCGGCTTGTTGGCCTTCGGGACGGAGCAGCAAACCTTTCTTCATACACTTGAAGTTCCCAAGGAAGGACCTTGCCCCACAGACAGTGACTGAGTATTCACACATGTGTGTCTGGGCAAGGTCAAGGAATTTGGTCCACAGAAGGGTTAGAATGGTACGTTCCCAGGAGAAAGTGATTAGACTAGATTTGTCTTTTTTATTTTCAACTTTGCTACTTCAAACAAAAGACCTCCTCCCCACTTCCTCCTCAGGGTTTTATAATTCTCCCTGAACCTGACTGTGAGCACTTCCTCCGTCTCACGGCCCAGCCCTGGGACGGGGCGCCACCCGAGAGCAGGAAGAGCTCCACCTGTCCCTGCAGCTTCGGTGTCGTCACCTGGGGTGGTCAATATGGGTTTGTTGACTGGGTGGCAAAGAAAAGAAAGAAGGAGGAGAGTAAGAAAGGAAGGAGAGGAGAGGGAAAAGACAGCATTCCCATTAACGTCTGCAGGAGGAGTTCTAATTCTAATAGATGGGGTTGTGTTTGTTACAAAGGTGACTCAGCCATGCAGTGAAGTGGATAATGGCCAAACGACTTGAATCACACAGCAGCACTACATGACCCCAGGACCTGATCATGTGGTTTTACATGCATCACTGTCCTAGAACTTGAACTCGCAGGACTCAGTCCAGGTCGGCAAGGTTCTGGTGCCCTGGACTGAGTGCCACCCCTTTCCCTGAACTGTTTGCCTGTAACCGCTAACTGTGAAATCAGCCACACCACAGGTTCCTGTGACAGCAGGCAGATCTGACACAGCCAGCACAGAGCAGCCCCACTTGTCACTCACGTCCCTCCCCTGGGACTCGAGTCTAGAAACACTGTTTTCGTGTCCAGCAGTCAGAAGACTTGAGCACCTTCTCTATCAGCAAGTGGTGACTTAACTACTTTAAAAACAAGCCCACTTTTCAGAGCCACCTGTCATGGAGATGTGCAGGCTGGTCCCTGACAGACGGCTGTGTGCTGGACATGCAGTGGGAGCCCAGGGTGGCAAGTGCCCAGGAAGGGTCAAGAGCACAGTGAGCTCCAGCAGCCCGGACTCAAGTGGAAGCAGGGGGAGACTGGCTGCGGGGTGATGAGGCCCCGGCCTCTTGTGCCCTCAACCCACTCCTGTGCTGCTGGGGAGAGAGGGCCTCTGCTTTGCATCACAGAGGGACACCTGTGCCAGGTATCACTCTTGTTTGTAGCATGGGTGCTACTACAGCCTGGGGCTCAGCAAAGCGAGGGCAAGGGTGTGGGAGCATGCGTGGAGGGTGCAGGGACCAGTGGGCAGAGCCATGAGGGCACAGTCAGAGAGAAATGGACCAAGGAGCTGGGGGCAGGAGGCGCTGCTGCAGGCAGACCCAGAAGAAAGGAAGGAGGCATGGCTGGCGTGCAAGGCCAGGGTGGCCAGCTCCAAGGAGAGGCAGGTTCGAGGGCTTCGGCGTGGGCTCAGGGAGCTCGGACTCTTGCTCTCCTGCACAAAGGCCCAGTGAGTGCTGTGCAGCAGAGCCGCCTTCACACCGACACCGAGCCTGCGCAGTGGAGCTGATCCTAGGCTAAGATGCAGCCTGTCCAGTGGGGCTGGCACCTGCATCCTCAGGCATCGGGAAAGGGTGAGGGTCCTGATGTACGAAGGCCCCTCTGCACACCCATGGGTGCAACCGAGGGCACAGGCCCTGACACAGCTGTGCTGACAGGTGGGTGTAAAGGCCTCGCCCATCCATAACCTGAGAGAGTGTCCCCACTTCCAGAGACTTCCAGGCAGGTCCCAGCACAGCCAGTCATAGAAGAGGAAGAGCCACGCGACAGTTGGGAAGTTTGCAAAGAGCCTCTGTTCTGCCCTTTGGCCCCTGCAGGAAGCCCACACAGTCAGAGGGTGGCTGTTGGCCTATGTTTTAAACATTGGGGAGACAAGGCGGGAGAAGGTGAGTGTGGCCAGCAGCCAGCAGGGCCACCTGGGGAAGCTGTGCCACCCCTGGGCTCTCCAGTGCAACATGGGCCCAGAGCAGGGCATTCATTCCTCGGGCCGCCCTGCACAGCCTGCTGGAGCAGCTAGAACAGCGGAGTGTGCGCAGACCAGCACGTGGCCACTGAGCTCTCCGCACACACTGGAGGCTCCTCATTGCCTGGCTCTGACGTCATTTTAGAAAAAGGAAACCACATGGTGCTACAGGAGAAAAGAGCAAGGGGAGGGGAAGGCAGACTGCCCCACCGAGCAGGGGGTACACCTGCTGTGCTCTGGGTCCTTGGCCAGGTCCTTCTCAGGCTTTTATTGCTCATCCTTCCCACAGCCTAAGAGGTGCCATCTCAGTTCATCTTGCAGGTGCCACCTGGTACCTGATCCAGAACAGGTGAGATGAAATTGAAAGGGTCACAGCAGGCAGATGGTGGCAGAATGAACGAAAGCCCTATGAGACATGGCGGAGAGGCTGCCCCCACAGAACGAAGGGCACACACCCTATCCCTTGGAGCTGTCAGTGCGGAAGTAAGTTTCTGCTTGTCTGCCTCAGTGGTGGCCTTATAAGGACTGAGCAACTTGCCCACCCAGCAGCAATCGGACCAAGGCCTGTGTCCATCTCAGGAGCTGGGCTGGTGGCTGGGACAGAATAGGAAACAGGTGGCAGGACAGGAAGACACAGGTGTGTGTCAGGTCAGGTGGGAAAAACAGGGAAGGAACTTGAGAACAGGGTGTGGCCGTCTCAAGAGGTGGGTCAGGAAGGCCCACTTGGGAAGCTTGACCCAGGGGCAGAGAAGCCCCCCCTGCCTACAGCTGCACCTGAAGGCCACCTGAAGCCTGCCGGGGTTCAGGGTGAGGAGGCACAGGCTCTGCCTCCAGAGGCCCCACAGATGCTAGGGCACACTGCCTGCTGTCCTGGATGGTGATGGGGAGCTGGAGCGGCTCATGGGGACGCAGGGCTGGGCAAAAGACAGTGGGAGCCCAGGGCCCTCAGCACCTCTGCAGCTCTGCTGCTGCAGGAGGGGGAGGTGCCCTCAAAGTACTGGGAAACCTGCATGAAGGCAGATTTAAAAGATAATAAAAGGAAGACAATATTCTGAATCAAGAGGGAGGAGCTGGCCTGCTGGCTAAGACAAGAAAAATAATCATGTAGAATGCACACACACGTGATATGAATATGATATGGAAACAACGGCAAGCAGGACTGACCAGTAGATGCATCTGGAAAGTCTGACCCATCTTGTCAATCACAGCTATGGAGTCCTGACACCTCTCAGCTGGGCTACATCTAATGAAATTGGACCCTGATTTTCTCAGTGTGACTTTTATTACACAGATGGCAATGGAAAAGCATCTCCTGGCTTGAATTACAATGTAAAGGCAGGGACATTAAAACCTTGCTAGGAATCGAGCCCAAAGGCCCACCAACAGCTGTGCCACCTCCTTGTTCAAGCGGCTGGCGTGGAGGCGGCTCGCCTGGGGCTCTGCACCTGGCCCAGTCCCAGACCCGATGCCCCCGACAGAGAGGCTCCTCGGCTCACTCTCTGCCATCTCAGCCTGGTGACCGCTGCTTAAGAAAGTGGGACCCAGAGAGCCACTTGTATGCCCAGCAGCATGGAGGGCTACTCGAGGTTTCATGTGTCCCCTGCCCAGCAGCAGTGGATGGGAGGTCTGGTTATTTATGCCCAACAGACCTGAGTTTGGGCCTGATCGGTGCCAGTGGGTTCCTTGGTCTACAGCACCAATTGTTCTGTGTCCCAGGGCCCCTTTCTATGTGGGGCAGTAATT